TATCTGCACGTAATATTTCATATGGGATACAATTGTGCTGCTTTTGAACCTTTTATCTATCAGGCTACCGTTTCCACTATGGTGGCATCTCATTATAGGGCAGTGTGATGTCCATACATTAGAAAATATAACAAGACACCTGGATTATGCAAACAAAGGGAGAGGACTGCCTTCTGCACTAGAAAATAGAAATCATGGCTTGGAACAATTACCACATTCAGCTTTCCTTTCCTAACATCCAGAAGTAGGCATCGGTGCAACAAGAGAAGAAAATTAAATATCAGATGAGTCCCACAGTTATGAATTACTTAAATAGATATATGACAGGAACACTTCCAAAATTTGATAAGGGGCCCTTTTTAAGGAAATTAATGTGGAGGCACCGTTTGATAATGTTGCACAACTTTCATATGTTTAATTTGACTGTTATTTGTTTGATAATTATTCACAAAGCACTAAATTCTGGATTAGCTTAGTTTCATTACAATAGCATTAATGAGATATGGTCAATATGAAAAGCGGCCCGTTTCATAATCTTTATTTCAGAAATGAAAATTGGCAGATATGAGCATCCAATATTTAGTCGAACCAAAGACAGAACGGTTAATTGTGTAACTTGCATAATTTCTTAAAAACTGGAAAAATGATCTCATTATTTACAGCAGCTTCAGCATGGCTTCTTACTAAGGAGATCCACTGCATATGTAAACAAGTTCAAACCTGAGCTTAATTTTTTGTATGGAAGGTAATAATGACATATAAAACTCATGAAAAATAGGCAAGGGTACATCTCTATCTTCAACTATTTTTAGAAGGGAAGAAAGACAAAGATGGAAATAATCAATTCCCATTACTTATTAAATCCAATTGAAGGATCTAAAGCAGTTCATTCAAAAATCCAGTTTCCCCAACACTCAACTATCTCTATGTTAATTTAATGTTAACCATAACAGAAAAAAGATAACCTGAGATCCTTTCCGCCACTTGTCTTTTGGGATGATAGGTAACATCTTCAAGCTGTATCTACAATCCTTTACATCAAGAAAGCTGCAAAATGAGGTAATTTCTTCAGTAGGAACCAGAAAAGGCTTAAAACAAATAGAACACTATCATTTCATTTATCATGGAACCATTTGTAAAGAATCAATTCTAGGCACCTCAAAAATCAAGAATGCTGCCATCCAACTGTCCAAGAAACTCCTTGGAGAAGCCATCAGATACTTGCATATATAGCTAAAACTGTAAAGGGTAACACAACTGCAATACAAAAACAAGAAAACCCCGGATTAACATGAACTCAACGAAACTGTTCGCGGTCGAAGCAACAACCTTGTCCAAGCTTTACAAACCTGTCAGAAAGCAGGACAAATGTTTGATTTTCCGGGTCTTCTAGAGCACCTGCAAGCAACAACCTCTCTGCTTCTATCATGCTTCATTCTACCCATCTCACCTGCAACAAGAGATTGTATTAACTTGATTCTGGGAATGATCTCAAAATCTCATATGCCATTGAACTTAACAAGTTTCTAACAAAAATTATGAGCGTAAAAATATATTGAATGGATTAAGTGCTGTTTGGATTGAGGGAAAATGAAAGAAAGGAAAGGATGGGGAATTTGAATTTGGAAATTCCACGCCGTGATTTTCTGGAGTTAGTTGACAGTTCCAGAAAGCTAAACAGAACCGAACAAAAAACGGGACCGCCCGCCGTTCTTATATATGGGCTGGACCGGAACGGGTAGCTGATTAGCCCAAGTCAAAAGAAAATGAGTTGGTCCGGTCAATATCTAGTCCTTTCCATTTCTACTTTCTCTTCGGAATCTCTTTTGACTTTCCCTTTGAATCCACCGTGGTAACCACTTGAAATCCATCTCCACCTCCACCGATTCACTTTAAAATTTTGGCTATTATCACTCTAATCTCCGATTCAACTAGAATTGAGCGCCTGGGGCATTTCAATACTCGGCTTCCGGTGCATCAATCGTCCACCTGTGACTAGCATTTTTGATTCCGATCTCCAAGTTTAATGGCTATGGGGATCCATTTGATTTCCGGCAATTCATTGTCTCTGACCTCGCTCCAGATATGGTCGCCCAGCTGCTGCCACTCTCCGACGACTTCAGCTCAGCTCCAGCAATCTAGGTGATTTTTGAGATGCTTTTCCTTTGGTAATGATCTTCATAAACTAGTTTTACATGTTAGATTTCTTCATCTTTCTTTTACTTAAACTTGAATTTCCTCTTGGCTTCTTTAATTCGTTCATCTTTTAGTTTGTCCGAATTGA